AGCTCAGCACTGCTCAGCTGTGCTTCGTGAGCGCTCTTGAAGGCATCAGTGCTACACACACAGTGTCAGCAAGGCTGTCCCCAAAGAGCAATGCCTCAGCCATCTCAAATGGCCAAAGGGCTCCTACCTTCCATCAACAAATCAACAGCTTTTCCCACTGTTCACATTAAGCATTGAGATAGGAGAAATAACCAAATTCATTAAAATGCTTTTTGAAAAATAATGCATATATATTATAATGATTTTCTGAGAGTGTGTGTATAGCAGCTTACTCGGGATTTTTGAAAGAAAACCCAAAGAAAGACGGTGCAAGTCAGCATGTGGATTCGATGGGAAATAATCTATTTTATAGTACCACATGCTTGAATTCTTAGAAGGAGCTGAAATGATGTAATGAGCAGGGACTCATCAGAATACAACCTTCCTGCTCTCCTTTTCTGTAGAGCTGGCAGGGGTGATACTTGTGACAGATCCCATTCTACCGCTTTTCTACCTCTGTTTCTGTTTCTGGAATTCTCTCCATAGACACATTCTACCTCAGAAGAAGGCCTTATCCCCATTTACAGTGGTGCAGGAGTTTCCTGCAGACTCGCAGTGTCAAGATTATGGCCACATTATGTGGAGCAGCATCACACGGGAGAACAGCATACAACTGACAGTCACCACGCTGTCCCGACTGCACCTGCACTCTGAGTCCCATTCCACCCTGAGGAGATGGCTTCAGCACCCAACATCTGCTTCTCCTTCCTGGCAGAGCTCAAGGGGTGACTTAATGCACTCAGAGATGGAGCTGTTCTTGAAATGAAACCAACAGAGAACAACTGAGAGACCCAACAGGGAACAATACTGCTGCTGGCTCTGGAGAAGATGTAATCCACCTAATGCCATGAAAGAACATTAGGGGATTGCTTGGAGCATCTTCTGAAGAAATTTCTGGATCAAATCGAAGATGTGCTTAGCTCTTTCCCCATTCTTTTCAAATCTTCTGGACTCTTTCCAGTCGTTACTTACCTTCCCTGCTTCTATATCTTGTTCTGCAAACTGATGTCTCCCTTGCTATGGTCTGCAATAAGCAGCCTCTCCTCCCACTTGGCAGCTTTGCAGGAAGCCAAGGTCCATTCTCCTCTGTCCTTGGTAAGTCCAGAAAAACAAGCCCATTCTCTCCTCTCCCGTTATAGCTGGGAGTGCAAAACACTCCCATTGTAGATACGTGCTACAACCTGAACACTAGTGCCGACCTGACTGCATGATCCCACAGCTGGCTGGTGGAGAACCATAGTAAATTCCCTGTCAGCAGTGCCAGGGGATTAGGAGATGCTCTGGTCTCCACACAGCAGCCATTAGCCCTCTCAGAGCCCAAAGGAAGGGGCAGAGCTTTGGTCACCTTGTAATGGTGCTGACAGATCCAATGTGAGCTTCATGGAGCTTGCTGGCCTCTTGAAAACGCTCTGCCAACAAAGGGACTGGGATGGCACAGGGAGAGGAAATCTCTGAAGCATCCTGCAATTCTAGATAGCACAAAATTACTGAAGGACAGGCATAGCAAGAGCAATTAGAGGAGGCCAAGCTAATTAACAGCCACCTGCTCACACCCTAGGCTGCTATTCCTTGCTGTGGGAGACTTAAGAGACTTATCTTTGACAGCCTTTTATAAACATGAAGTTCCCACTTTATTTACCTTCTTATCTCAATGCACAAGATAAGAGAAGCTGGGGCAGAGAGAAAAAACACAGAGGACTCACCAGGAGAACTACGGTTAGAAACTCAGAGCTCCTCCAAATAGCTCCTCTTCTCCCCTAACACTAAATTATTGCAAATACTCAGAGTTCTTGCGTTCTAGGTGACCAGCCACGCTGGGGAATGGGCAAGTCACACTGCACCTCTTCTTGGAAGGAGAGCCAAACTTTTCAGAGTACCCTTTTTCCCCTTGTAAGAAGCCTGAGATAAATAAACAGTAACAATAATTTAAAAGAAAAAAAAAACAAAAACCAAACAAAAAAATTACAGAAAATGTTTTTAACAAAACCACCTAGCATTCCTGTTCTGAGCTTTTATACTTAAATCTCTCTCCTTGTTATATAACTCCACTATAAAGCTCAGTGGTTCACAGAAAACTTCAGCAAAATCAGAAAACTCGACCTACATTTCTACATGTATGCACATAGAAGCACCAAAACCCCACAGGCAAAAGAAATATGGTCAGAAGAGAAAAAAAAATGAAATCTTTCTTGGGCCTTCTTCAACATAACATCAAGAATCAACGAAGAAACACAATCCAATTTGTTTTCCCCCAGTGCCGGTCACTTTTAACAGAAAAGTCACTCCCTGTGCAACTCCTGCCCTGTCTCCAGTTTTCATAAGCAGAGGTGACCTCAGCAGTTGCACGCTGTGCAAATAAATAAAGTTAGAAGCCTGCCCAAAACACCTCCGAGCCCTTTGGCCAACGTTGGCTGGGAACACACACGCAGTAACTACCAAGTGAGGGAGAAAACACAAGGTTTGGGACTTCTAAGAAAGCTCCATCAGATGGAGTCCACTTAGAAACACTGGCGTAGGTGCGATTTCAGATAAACAAAAATATACAAGTGCTGCTCTTCTCAGCCCTGCGGGTTTGTCTGGTGGCCTGCAACACAACCAAGCTTGGGAGCAAGCCCTGGCTCTGGAGCTCCTGCATGCGTCACCACGTCCAGCTGAGAACAACAACCTGCGCTGGTCCTTAATATCCTTTGTAGGTGATTATGGGAAACAAAAAGGACTAAATTCAAAGCAGGTTTGCAACTGGGGGGGATCCAAAACTGCTGACTGAGGAGGAGAACAAAGCCAGATGGCATCTGCTGATATTGTTAGGCTTTATGCAGTGTTAAGGAAATGAGCAGAGGAAAAGACCCAGTTTGGGCCCATGGCTCCTCTCTTGCCAAATGAACATATTGGGGTGACCATGAAACAATCAGTTTATGGGTTTCATTCCCCTCCACCCCCAGACTGAACTTAAATATTTGTATAAGCCCAGGCGTAACTTTTATCTAATGTTTTCCTTGGGGTTTACTAGCTGTTTAGAGTATTCAGGCTAAAAAGCATTCCCTCAAACGCTTGCCACAAAAAGAGCTGAAACTATGATACTAATTAAAACCACACTCTTTGGTATCAAGAAGACATGCTATTATTTTCTTTTTTTGCTCAGGAGAAGCTGTTAATATGGGCAATGCGTCTGGAACATTTTCCTTCCAACACCATGCCCTGTACCCTCTCCTGCTCAGGTCACCTGGTCTGTGAACTTGTTAGCAGCCTGGGGTGGGAACGCTCGTATTTACAAGAATAGATTTTCTTTTCAATAGCAAACCATTTGCCAAGTTAACGTTATGAAAAAGCACATCAAGAGAAAAAAAAAGCACTTTACACTGTGTGAAAGATAACAAGCTGAAGAACTGTCCTGCCTTTGTCTCCAGTGGGCCAAAGCAAGGGATGAATCTTGTACGTTATGCAAAACAGCCTCTGACTTTGCCAGGATGCTCCTGGACACTTGGCACAGACCAGGAAAGGATGTGGGTTGCACTGTGTACCACCACTGATCCACCCTGGGCTAAGGTCTATGAAAGGAGAAGGTAAGATTTCATGCTCATTTTTACCCCATCTAATTTGGATGCTTCTAAGGTCTGTGGTATCAGCACCTCACAAACATTAACAAAATTATCCTCGTAACATTTTAAGAAAAAATGCTATTATTACATTTAAAGGACGGAAAATAAGAGAGAGGGGGAGAGGAAATCAAGGGCCAGGTTTAGGTTCAGTGCAGTATTCGAAAGCATCTACACGTATCCTGAGAGGTCTAAGTCCAGTTAAAAATACAAATTTTATTGTCCAAGATCCAACAATGGTGCCTTGGTCAGGGCAGTAATTGCAGCACAGCAGTGCAGGAAGCAGAGAGAACCGGCTGCTCTGCTTCAATCCTCCCAGAGCACCAATTTCCAAGTCCCCACCAATTTCGAGCGGTGCCCTGGCCACTGCCTGCTTGACCAAGAGCGGCTGCCTGTGAAAAGCCAAGCTTGGTCTTGACAGAAGCATCCGCACTGCTTGTGAAGAAAACAAAAGTGGTAGGAGGGATCCTCGAGGGAAGGCACTTGTCCCACAAGTGTCACTCGCAGGACCACAAAAGTAAATAATGTTTCATCAGAGTAAGTTGGTTTCTGGTTTCTGTTTAAGAGCGTGGCTTTTGCTGTGTTGACTCAAAACAAAACTCAGCTTCCCTTTTTCACAGCCGCAAAGATGCCAGATTTTAATTCCTCACAGTGCAAAGTGCAGGCAGTGGAGGAGGGTATTTTATTTTATATTTATTTTTGGGTGATATTTTAGCTTTGAGCAAACTCCTGCCTGGTTAGCCAGCTTCTAGGTTCGCCAACAATACAGAAGAACTGCCTAAGTTATAAAAACAAGTTAATACATAAAAAATATGACTTCAGCAAAGAAGTTAAGCTAGATGGGTGAACACGCTGTAATTTGTTACATGCTTCCATTGTGCAGGGATCCAAAGTAATAAAATATTCCTGTAATGCTAGAACCGTGAGGCCCAGCCCCAGTATGATGCTGGGATTCCAGTATTAGCTCTGCCACACCATCCCCTGGCTCACCACCGAAAGGAGCCTCCCGTTGCCAGCCTCCCCAGCCCAGTTCACTCCAAGGAAAGATCAAGTCATGAAGTTCTTGTGGAGGTGTCTACAACACTGGGATGCCGAGATGACACCTCATGTCAATTTAACGTAATCAGAAAGCGCAAACCCATCCGCATCCGAAGCATCCTCAGAAAATCCCAGGGCTGGCTGCAGAGCTCGGTTTTAGGCTGGGAAGAGCACAGCTGCCTTGCAAACTCCTTGCAAACCCCACAGCCCCTCCATCCTGCTTCTCATTTGAGGCTGACAGGCAAAGCTCGAACACATCCTTATAGCCTTGAGGAGGCTGCTGAATGTAACACTCATGTTACAAATGAATTAATGGGAAACACTTACCTTCCCCACTAGCTTGCCTTTTCTGTTCATGCAAAGGTAGAAGTCTGTCTCCTTCCCTTTGATCCGGACTTGACTGCCAAAAGTGTCTGTTTCCACTAGAAGCTGGGCTTGTAAAGGAAGAAGAAAAAAAAGCATTTACCAATGTGGTCCCATTAAGTCAGAGGGTGCAAAGCTCATCAGCATGTTGTCCCATCACCTCTACCTGAACCATCCCACACTGGGATGCTCTGCAAGGGAACAACCCAAGGAACCACCCCGGAGCTGAGCTCCAGGATTGGTCACAGGGGCAGATCTGACACATCTCCACTGACTCCTATGTGAATGCTTCAGATTTAACCCCAGTTTAGCACAAAATATGTACATACACATGTGTGCTCCATCAGTCCACACCAACGTCACCACCCCATCAGCAATATAAAGCTAGATGCTCTCCACACTGCAGGAGGGTTCTCGGAGGGTAGGAACACGGATTTTTACTCTCATGAAAAGAAAAGATTAGCACGACAAGAATGAAAATCATTTCCCCACAGCCAGCAGCCCTCAAACACTTCATGGAAGTGGTCCAGCCACATGCTCGAGGTGCAAAACTTAGGTGGTAGTGATCAGAATATCTCTGCACAACCTAACAGGGGAGAAATTTGGCGCTGCTGGTTCTCTCAGATGGACACCCACCTTGCAGATGTCCTCTGTGTGTCTAGCTATGCCCCCAGGAGGTCACTAACTGCTTTCTGGCAGTCCCGGTGTGTGACTCCTGCTCTAGCTCGGGCAACTATGGCCAATCACATAGTGCCTCACACGTTACTGAGGCCAGAGCTGGTTTGCAGCATTGTCAGAAGCCACGGTAGAGGACAATTTCTGCTGCATCTTCAGAAACCACCTGCCCTGACATAATTGTATTTGCAGAAGTGGCTGAGCTGCCACCCAAATGTGTAGTGTGCCATCAGCACCACAAAGACCTAGACACATCCAAATTCAGCGTTTTATTCCACCTCTGATCTAAACATGAATTCCAGTCATGCTCGAGGTTTGGATTCCAAGAATTTCCCCGGAGAGGCAGGAACAGGCAGACTGGACATTTTGGTTCAGATCCATCCCCCATACAGAGGGGGAGAAAGGAGACATGGTCGAAACACAATGCAAGAATGTGTAAGTGTCAGCAAGTGCAAATCCACGGTCCTGCTCTGGAAATACTCACGCTTGTAAGACCTGAGCCTTACCATAGAAACACAGCTTTTGCCAAACTTTGGAGATTGTTTGATCTGTGCTGCAAAAAGTCACATTCTTTTTGGCATTCATATTTCAAACTTTAAAACCCTCTAAGAGCAAATATGTTCGCTGTAAGGATTTACCATGGGGATAGAAATAGGAGTTTGTTTCATTTAAACACATTAATATTTTTCCCATTTGTAAAGTCAGCTTTTGGCTTCTGCAGCAGTGCAAATATCACAAACCTTTAACTCACAAGAGCCCTAAACGGAGGGCCCTTTGCAGCTCAGTCACACATGCAAGTTCAGGGGTTTCCAGTTACTAGCAGCATACATTTATTTAGAAATATTTGTTAAAACTTTATCACAGGGGATATTTAAATAACAACCTCTTTTTGACAGCAAGTGAGATAATGCCTGAATTACGGTAGAATATTACTTGCAGTCATGCATAAACATGGATATTTATCCAAGTCTTTCAGAAATGCACCATGTTTCTGGGTATCTGTGATGGAGAGCAGCTTGCCAGTGACAGCCAGGTGCTGCAAGCTTTCTCTCCACACCTGCCAAAGTGCTATCAAACCAGAGAGCACTTCAGTAAGGAAAGGCCACATGAACCAGAAATATCCCATCGTAGTAAGGACATAAAGACAAGCAAAGCTAGGATGGGGGAGGATGGCCAGGGTCAAAGTGGGTCTTCAAGGAGATGAGGAATACGGTATGTAACTTGGTGAATGCCCACTGCTTCAAGAAGCTCAGGGAGGCTGCTCAGATGCAACACAGCATTAGTGAACCAGGCTATAGCCAGAGGTAGGACTGTCTTTAAAGAGGTGACTGTGAAAGATCTTGCCCTCCAGCAAGCAAAGGCATTAGAGAGGACTAATGGTCAACCTCAGATGGGGAGAGCAGCAGCCCGCACACAAGGAAAGGTTATAGAGCCAGCACAAGAGGTCCCAAAGATTGGCCCAAGAACCACAGCCAACACCCAGAGTGCCAAGGAGTCACCCACAGATCTATAGTGTTGAACCCACCCAAGCACGCAAACAGACATGGGGCCACCCACCGAAGGGGTCAAATGAGGGCTCCACAGCTTGCACAGAGGCAAGACCGGGACACAGCAAGTTCCCATCTAAGCTGCAAGGCATTCCCCATCCATTCCAGTCTCAGCACTGCGACTAAAGCTGCTAAGAATAACACTGAATATCAGACAGGGGTTTTGGCCAGCCTAAGTAGATGATGAAGCACTCCATCCAACGCAAGAGTCGCGATCTGCGGTTCTGTCACACAGTTGACAACCTGCACCTCTCTGACGCATGTCCCCTCTGGCAGCCTGCACTCAAATGGACACAGGGGGCACACCCCCTCGTCTTCCTCACCCCCTGGCTCTGCAGCCAGTATGAGTAATATCCAAGCTGATTTTAATTTGAAAAATATCACCTTAAAAAGATGCCGGTTCCCTGCTGTGAAAATTAAAACCATCTGGATGGAGTGATTTCAAATAATTAATCTAGGTCTCCTTTGACACTGCTACTAATCAAAATATGATACCTTCCTCCCCCTTCTTAAATAAAGAATTTAAATAAAGTTTAAAGATCTAATAAAATAATGTCATAATTTAGAAATAAATGGAAGTCACCTTTCCTGCAGGCTGCAAAGGTTATGCCAGCGCTGATGTTCCTCCTGGACTAGTGCCACAGCATGGACCAAGCAGCAGCAGATGGGCAAGTACCCAGTGCAACACCCACACCGGTAAATACCCCAACATACTCCAGCACCCCTGGGAGGCTCGCAAGTCCCAGAGATCATCCTACACCAAATGGCTAGGAGCAAGGAGCAGAGGGAAGGACGTTTAGCAGAGGCTGCCTGTGCCCCGCTGTGACCCTAGCTGCCTAAGTTCAAGCTAAGGCCACCCACAGATACCCACTTCTGAAAAACCTGTGTCTTAAGATGTTGGAAACATGTTCTTATTTCTAGAGAACCTTGACTCCCTTTCCTACAAGACAGATCAGTGCAGCTTTAGGGTTGGGTTCATAACCCAGCTGGCTTCCAGCCAAAGGTACCCCTTAAGGCATACACAGCTGATTCTCGTTTTCGCAACAGGCATCTCCCTAAATTCTCTCGGGAGCACAAACAGGGACCTTGGACAACACATCTAGGTAGCTAAAATCAGCCGGGAGGAACCCCAGCTCTGAACACTGTAACAAGAATTTCCAGGGGATGGAGGGCGTCCCAGCAGAAGGGGCTGCTGAGGTCTCCCACCCCATCCACACGCAGCAGGAGAAGAGATCAGCCACCACTACCAAGGTTTAAATTAAGTTAAACTGGACTTGGCTTGCTGTCTTGTATCTGTGATAAAGATGCTATGGCCACAATGAAAGCACAGGGGAAAATCCACAAGAATTTCCATTGAGAGCTCAGGTAAAATAAGTTCCACCAAGCTGGAGCAGTGTCCCTGCAGCAGTGTGCTGTTCAGGACACCCGACTTCCAGCCCTGGATACACCGGGGAGAGATTACAATCTTTATTTTCAAAAGCCTTCAGATCAGGTGTTACTGTTTAAATTCTTTGACAGCTAGATATTCTGAGATATTTTCCGGGGCGGGGAAAGAG